GTGTCCGGCACCCCGCGGCCGCCCGCGGCACCTCGACCCTCCGGGGCCGTAGAGGCGCGGCCGCCGCTGGCCTGGCTCTTCGGGGGTGGAGGAAGATAAAGACGTGCCGTGGCACGGTCACCGTCCCCGGCCGACTTTCGCTCACGGCAGGGGGGCAGGCACGTAGGTAACTCCGGTACGCGGCTGCCCCTCTGCCGGTCGCCTCCCTCTGAGCGGGCCGAGGCCGTCGAGGGGACGCTGTGAAGCGGTGTCAGCAAAGCAAGGGTCACGGTTATTTGGCAAACTGAGCGCTTGGCTCCACTGCCTACGGGAGTAATGAGCCGCGCTGGGCAGGGTATGGCGCGGTTCACTGCTGCTAGCAATTCTCTTCTTGGTGGAGAGAGCTGCTGTTAGACCCTGATAAACGAGTTGCTTCTTTCCGAGCTCTGTTGGTGAGCAGGGAATTGGATCTAAGCGAGTTCGGTTATCGAGGCGGTAGGCAGTGAGTCACAACCTGGATTCATCGTTCCCCAACCCCCGCCTCCCCAAGCAAAGTCGCGTGCGTGCTTCTGCGTTTTTGAGGGGATGTTTATGATGGCTGTCCTTTCAGGGCTCTAGAAACAGGGGAGGAAGCTGTGCATAAGCCATTAATATTGTGTTATTCCAAGAGAAGTTTTACACAGACTTGTAAGCAAACTTTCTGGGAAGGCTTTGCCCCTGTCTTCAGAGGGTACTGACACTGACAAACTGACTCTTTCTTCCCCGCCATTAGTAAGTGACCGTCAACATCCTTTCAATCACAGGCTTCCCCACAGAGTTTATGAAACTACTCCTTGAGGTATTTTCTGCACTTTAGTTCATCATACTTCCCTAAGTACCTGTAGAAGACAAGCTCTTCTAAGATTACGTGAGCTTGTTTTAGAGCCAGTGATAGCTAATTATCCTGATTATTGTGTTGCCACTGCATTTCTTGCTGACTTGAATAAAATGTTTATTTACAGTGTCCATGGGGAGCCCCTAACACAACATCAATATCGTGTTCCCTTGCTGATGTAATGAGTGAACAGCTGGCGAAAGAGCTGCAGCTGGAAGAAGAAAATGCTGCTTTTCCTGAAGCGGTTGCGTAAGTTTAAATCCTGGATTAATGATCTCCATAGTTGTGAAGCCATCTTCTGTCTCTTGTGCACTTTCTTACAGTGTGCTTAATGCATAGCAATATAGTAAATACTTTGCCTATTATCTCCTAACTCTGCTGCTTCAGGTCTTTTTCAGTGAAGATGGCTTCCCCAGTTAAAACTCTTCCTTAGATTCTCTTCTCGGTCACCCTTCTTTCTTGATATTTTCTTCACATTGTTTTGGGTGCCTTAAGCCAGCCTGTAAGCTACGTTTTGAGAAACATTGTCAGAAATGGTTTTTTTCTTCCCTTTTAGAGACTCTTGTTAACAGTGTACAATGTTATTTCGAGAACTGTCAGGCGTATCACCCGTATCTTCCTAATACTTGGAAGCTCTAAACATAGGCCAAGAGCTTACTAGTTCTAAACTCATACAAATTTTGCCTGTGGTCTTTTCTGTGAAGCAGAGCAAAGCAATGCTGTTGTTTGGGTTTTTTTAATTTGTTTTTATTTATAAAAATTTATATACACACACGCCCCCACCTCTATGCCTTCTTTCTCTTTCATGAAGGGCATCTTAAAAATAGAGCCTAATGCTTCTTAAAGAACAGTAAACAAGTAAAAGTTTAAGTAATATTTGCATTGTAAAGGAGTGGCAAAGAGAAATGAAGTCATGTGCTATTAGTATTTAGTGTTGACTTGGAGGGGGGGCGGACAGTTGAGATCCATTAGTTTCTATGCAGCTCTGCATGAAGTCTTTTGTATAGAGTGATGAAATGGTATAAAGCAGTGTTTCTGTTTAGATTACTGTGTTTAATTTTTTCAATTTCTGTTTTCATTTTACATAGTGTTGCTGAAGGACCATTTATTACAGGAGAAAATATTGACACTTCTAGTGACCTAATGCTAGCTCAGATGCTGCAGATGGAATTTGACAGGGAATATGATGCACAGCTTCGGCGTGAAGAGAAGAAGATCAATGGGGATAGCAAAGGTACCCTCATCCAAAGAAATATTTTTGCTTTATTCTTGGCACTCTGCCTAAGTTGACAGAGCTGCGAGGAAGTAGCAAATCCCCGATAATCACAGACATGCCTATTTGTTTTGTTTCTCAAGTCTCCATATCCTTTGAAAATTATCGGAAGGTACATCCCTATGACAGTGACAGCTCAGAGGATGAGGTTGATTGGCAGGATACCCGTCATGATCCCTATAGAGCAGGTATGTGGCCGTTTTAAGCGATACAATTTCTTCAGTTAATAGACCTAAGAATATGACATAGTTAAATTAGGTTTTTTGAATGTAAGGAGACATACCGGTTGTATGTAAAATCAGGTCACCTAATTGGGAGGTGTTATGCAGGAAGTTGGGCGGGTAACTTCAGGCTTCTGTCTGCCAGTATATTGGCTTCCGTGGCTGAATCTGGTAAAGTAACTGTTGTACATGGAAAGTATTGTGGGATATGCATACCTGTCATCTACATTTGGCTAGGGGCATCTGCACATGATATTGAATATTCCTGTCTGTAACATGCCAAAAGTGTGTCTGACACCCCAGAGAAGACAGGGAAGTAAGTCATAACATAGCAAAAGAAGCTGTCATGTTTAGGGTAAGAGAAGAGTGCATTAAGATCATACAATTGAAGTATTTTATTCTGTTTAATAAATAAAATTATGTTACTTTTGTGGGCATTGTGGAACCTTTATGAGCATTAGTTATGTTTGTTTAGATGTAAAGTTAGATTTATTTTTCTTACTGCTGGCAGATAAACCTACTACTACGCCGAGAAAGGGCTTCATAGGAAAAGGGAAAGACATTACTACTAAACATGATGAAGTGGTATGTGGAAGAAAGAACACTGCTCGCATGGAAAATGTAAGTGAAAACTTATTTTGTGTGTAAAACTGGAATGCTGCAATTCAACCAAAGAACTAACGCTTGTCCATCTGTGCTACTGTATGCGGTGTTAATTTTTTGTGGGTTTTTTTTTTCTTTTTCATCAGATGAAAGCAATGCAGTGTCTGGATTAGTTATTCAAACTGGTAGTCTGAGTTGTGCGTGTTTTTTGTTTAATAATAGTTTGTTAATGGCCATGATTCAAGAATTTGCACAGAACTGTGTGTTTTGGCAAAACAAAACTTATCAGCAAGTTTGGTACACAGGCAAATAAAACACCAAGGCTATTTTTGAAAAGCATAGCTATCATGTAAACTATTTTTTTTTTTTTAATTCATTTTGCCTGATGAGCCAACTAACTTATTTTCTGTCAATTGTTTGACTTACAGCTTTTCAGTCTGTTTATTCATAGTACATACCTTCTGTTTTCTTTAATGTAACTGGTACAACTTCCGCAAATAAGGAAATGCTGCAAGTGCTATTTTTACAGGATGTTAGGTAATCTCATATCAATTTGGGCAGAACTTCGAGTTCTGAGTTTAGAGCAGTATGTTTTTTAACATAGTGACAACATTACACGAAGTGGGTTTCGCATAGGTCCTAATCTACCCTAGGTTTTTGCAAATCGGAATGAGAAATTTCTGCTTGTGCCAACTTTTGGTGTCTGCTAGTAACAGTGCTTAAATTTCTATTATTTCTACTTGTAGTTTGCACCTGAATTCCAAGTTGGGGATGGAATCGGGATGGACTTAAAGCTGTCAAATCAAGTCTTCAATGCCTTAAAGCAGCATGCATACTCTGAGGAACGTCGAAGTGCAAGGCTACATGAAAAGAAGGAGCACTCCACCGCTGTATGTTTTTAATAAAGTCTCTCTATATACTTTTTATCTTGTGTAACAGCTGAACACTGTTTTGGTAATTCCTTGAAACATTCCACTTTCAGTAAAAGAGTTAAGCGGTATTATGTTAACGTTGCTGAAGGAGATGGTATCAGCCACCTCCTACTAGAAAAAGGCTGTCTTTATTTGAGCTGCATTATTGTGAGAGCCATATCAAAATAAGAGCAAGCAGCTTCCATTTTTTTCTCTTTGTCTTTCTAAACTTGTCTCTCAATCAGCTACAATGAATAAACTGCCTAGAAATTATTTATAGAAACCATCCAGAGGACTAATCCTCTGCAGCTGAATCATGTGACTCCAAATATCTGTATTCATAGCAAGTTTCAGGAAGATGAGGTGACCAAGTAAACTCTGACTTAATGATTTAGGAGGTCAGTTGATATGCTTTATGGGTGAGTTTAGAGCAGGGCCTCTGGTAATTCCTGCTGTGGACTTCTTCAAATTTGGGTGTCTTGCTTTATTTTATTGTTACTGATATAAAAGGAATATAATATTTGGGATATTTTGATTCATGATTTGTAAAGACTTCTTGAAAACGCTATAGAAAGTGCTCTTGAGCCACAGTCTGTACTTTATGTGTAATTGGTAAAATACTGTATGTGCTACACAACCGCTAAGGTACCTGAGTATTAAATCTTAAGGACTAAAGATGACAGTGCTGAAGCAGTTTGGCTTTGCTTCATCTCTTTGTTTGGTTTGTTGTTTGGGGTTTTTTTCCCTCTCTATCAGTTGAGAGAATGCTCTTAAGACGTTATTCTTTCCACCTAGTTGAACACTTGTGGCATATAAATACTTTAAATGCACTGTAAAGCAAAGAATTATTTTAATGAATTGAGTATTCATTTCTTGCCTGTAGGAGAAAGCAGTGGATCCTAAAACGCGTTTACTTCTGTACAAGATGGTCAATGCTGGGATGCTGGAGACCATCACAGGCTGCATCAGCACAGGAAAAGAATCTGTTGTTTTTCATGCATATGGAGGAAAGTAAGTATATTGTTTGTTACTGACAGTAGCTTTAGGTACCAGAGATGGTTTAAAAAGCAGAAACCACAGAAATACTTAAACAATCTGCACTTTTTTCAGTCCCAAGACTTAAAGTTTGTATTCATATATATGCAGATAATAATAAAATCTGAAAACCAAATGGTACCAACCGTAAAGTAAAAAAATCCCCACTTTCCTCCTTGGAGACCATTTAATGAACGGGGACAAATCCACTATAGCTTTCTGTGGAAAAATACGTACTCCTTTTATAAAAAAAGAAGTCTTGCAATTTTGAAGAACTCTTTGCACTGACCTGCCCCAGACTACAGGGCTGTCATGCTGATCTTAGGCTACCTGAAGATTGTCTTTCCATACAGATCACTGCATTGTCGGCTCCATCTGTGCAGTTCAGTGGAGGTGCTGTTTGTTACTTTTGGGTTACCTTGGGATGCTGTTCACTTTGCAAGTCGTGCAAGAGTCCAGTTTTAAAGACTACCATGCTGGAAGGATTGTAGTACGTTCGTAGTGATTGTAGTGCATTGAAACACCGCTAGTTTAAAGTGAATTAAGAAAAAACGTAATAAAACCCAAATACAGATAACATATTTAGAGATGTCGAGAGAGAGAGAGGCAAGTTGGGGGCGGGGAGAAAAGTTGCTTTTTTTTTTTTTTTTTTTTTAAATTGACCTTTCGCTTGAATGTTCAGGAGTGTTCTTTTGCTTAGTAGTATTCAACGGGCAGTATCTTTGTGGTGCTTAACAAAACATTGTGATGCTACCATTATTGTTCTAATGCAAGATTTTTTCACTTGTAACTTCTTGAAACAAGTACATCTATTAACAGGGTTGTTATTAGCTATGACATTTAATTAAAATATTAACAAACTGGGAGATGGAACCTATTTGATAAGCAATATATAATCAAAATGCCAAAACCCAAACATTCATATAAACTTGAATTGGCTCCCAAATTTGATATGAAATCAGATCTTTTCCTCTCTTATATTAAAAATTGCTGTATTTTGCAATGTTTAAAAAAAACAAAATCATGCATTTGCTTGTAAATATGTGAATAGTTAACTTTGTTATATATTTGACTTTTTCCACGAGAAGTGCAACTGAAGATAAAGTTATACCTCCAGAATGTGCCATCAAAGTGTTTAAAACAACTCTTAATGAATTCAAGAACCGTGACAAATACATTAAGGATGACTACAGATTTAAAGACCGCTTCAGTAAATTGAATCCACGAAAGATTATTCGTATGTGGGCTGAGAAAGAAATGCATAACTTAACAAGGTAAAGAAAAAAAACCCAAAAATATAGTTGCCAAATGCCTGTTGGTTTCCTATTCTCTGTTTAAGGAAGTTACACTATGCCTGGGTTGAAGTTTATATTTGATTTTTAGGCTAAACAATATACAACCTGGCACAGATTGAATAAGCCTCTGGTTTCTTACAGTTTAATGAATTGTCAGCATCCTCAGTGGTTTGGCAGCAGAATTTACAAGCCAATGAAATTAACGGGCTCTAGCTGTAAAAGTAATTAGTTTTCAGTGAGCGTTTTTAGACCCACTTACGACTTGAAGATCTGAATTTTCCTATGTGAAATACTGCGAAATATATGTATTTCTTCAGTTTTCAATTTGGTCTATTTCAAAGACTTTTTGACTCTGGATCAAGTTTCTCACACACAGCGCTCTCAGATTGGAAATGAGCAAGCAGGAACTAGAACTGTAGGGTTTCAGGGGTTTTGTTTTGTTTTTCTTAATCAGTATCTATTTTCTGATCCACAGAATGCAAAATGCAGGAATTCCTTGTCCTCAAGTGGTTATCCTTAAGAAACACGTCTTGGTTATGTCTTTCATTGGCCAGGATCAAGTCCCAGCTCCTAAACTAAAGGATGTAACACTTAGTAGTGAAGATATGAAAAAGGCCTACTATCAGATTCTTAATGTAAGACAATGCTGATTTCTCCTCCAATTCGGGGTTGTGTTTTCTTTTAGGGGAATAACTTAAAGGACAAATCAGCATTTATTTACTTTTTCAGGATGCTTGCATCACTTTCAAGATACGGAGTCCAAAGGCTTATTTTGCTGCTGTTTAATCCGTGACTTAGAATAAATAAGAAATTATGGACTGTGAAAAATAAATAAATTGAATCTTAATCTGAGTAGAAAACATGCTGGAACTTGATGACAAACAGATATTTAGCAGCAGAGAAATTATGAGCAAGTAGTCCTCCTTTTATAGAAGCAGTATGTGGTTTAGAAAGTTCTCTGAAGTCTTTCTGGGCTTGCCAAATACTTAATTTACAACGCTTAAGCACTCTCCGGTGGATAACTCTCTCCCCACCCCCCTTCTTAACAAATCTAGAAATCGGAGAATGAATTAGAATATTGCATGGTAGATACTTTACTTTCCTATTATCCGCTGTAATTGTTCAAACATGTACCTGCTAACTGTCCACTCACTGTTAGCTTCCTACAGACATGAAAAAAAAAAAAGCAAGCAACCAACCAACCCAGCAGCTTGATAACATGAATGGTCTGTGCCTCTAATCTTGAGACCAGTAGAGCAACACAACCATGTTTTAAGTGAATATGCATACTAGTTAGGATTCAGCATCTAAAGCTATGAGGCTTCTTTCCTGTGTGACGGGTGAGAATGACAGGTATATTCAGAGAACGTGTTTATCTGTCTCATGCGCTTGGACTGGTTGGCAGAGTTGACATGAGTTTACCAGACTGATTCTTCTGACTTGCCAAAGCTAAACTCCGTGATAAAAGCTTAGTTTGCTGGCAGTTTACCAAAACTGCGATTCCCTGTATGAAACTTTATTGAAGACTTGGAAAAAAATGATGTAAATTGGGTGGGTGACTGGGGGAAAGGCTTTGTTTTGTTACAGTCATGCAAACGATATTTATTTGGAGTATAGCACGCTTCATTCATTCATCAGTTTGGTTCCTTGCAGATGATGCAACAGTTGTATAAGGAGTGCAACCTGGTCCACGCAGATCTGAGTGAATACAACATGCTTTGGCATGATGGGAAGGTGAGCATATTCTTAACGTGGGAAGGAAAGGTTTCATCTAATGCGAAATGTTACTACAAGGTGAATTGCTGTCTCTCTGTGACTACAGGTCTGGCTTATTGATGTCAGTCAGTCTGTGGAGCCAACTCATCCTCATGGACTTGAGTTTTTGTTCAGAGACTGTAGGAATGTTTCACAGGTAGGACCTCTTCATCTGACAATCCTCTGTTATGCTGAATGTTTTCCAAGGTAAAATCAGTTCAGAGCTAACTGAAAATCAACCAATACAACTCCATTAAAAAATGGTCACCACCACCTATATATAAGAATGCTCTTACATACTGTCCATACTGATGGTGTTCTCCAAAAGGGAAAAAAGTGTGGAAGAATAAAACAGTACTGCTAGAACGTAAAACTTCTTTCAGTTACTTTTGTCTGTAAGTCAACAAAAGCAAAAATGTCATTTTGACTAAATACTGTAATTGCAACTTGGGGAAGGAAAAGGAGTATTTTGTTTTGTGTAGTAAAATGTTTAATGTGTGCTTTCTATATTGACTAGTTCTTCCAGAAAGGAGGTGTGGCAGAAGCACTTAATGAGCGTGAACTCTTCAATGCTGTCTCAGGTTTAAATATTACAGCTGAGAATGAAGTAGACTTCCAAGCAGAGGTATAGCTTTCTCCGTGTCTAACATTCTGGTTTGGTTAGCTATAGTAGCTACTGCAATACCTTAACTTTCCACGTTCAGTTTGTATGATTAGTGTCTGTCAGTATAATTTCAGCAATCATTCTGCATCTCTTTTTTTAAACTCGATTGTTTCAACATAGTAAAAATGTTTTCTGAAACTCAGATTGGCAGACCTCTCCACGCCCTTTCCTGATCTCCCTGCTCCCGAGTATAAAAGGCTTCATGTTGCATATAATTGCTGCTTTCAGCGTTAAGGGAAATGTAGTGATCTGTTTTAGTTTAAAAGCTAGCTTTGTTCTCTTTCCTTACATACATTAAAGGCTGTGCAGCAAAAGGAAAGTTGGTTTTAAAAAAAAAAAATTGTTCTACTGCTTATTTTTCATGTTTTAGATTTTAACTTACTTGAATTTAAAATTTATAGGCTAGCATTTTCAATGTTCAAGCCTAAAATTAGACACCTGAAATCATGCTAATGTAAATATGGACAAGGAATCTTTGGTCGCCTTTGGCTTTTAATTTTCAAATTTTGGATGTAACTCCTCAAGGCATGCATCCTGATACCAGACATTTTTAAAAATTGTCAAAAATTCCACATTTACTAATTAAAGTAAGGGTGACATGGCAATTCTACTCTACTTGATTTCTAATAACAGTGCAGGTTTATGCTAGTCCAGCACGTAGTAGGTGGGAGCTTGAAACTGTTTAACTCCTGGGGTAGGTCCTCAAAGTGGGGAAGAGATAAAGGGAACACAGTATCACTGTTCCAAGATCCTTATGTATCAGTTAATCAAGCAAAAAACAATTCCCGCACTGGCGGTGTTGTGAGCGTTGGGGTGTGGGGTCCGGTTTTTTGTTGTTGTTGTTATAATGGCACCTTTTTTGCTTATAAGTTTTATGGGAAAGACGTACATTGCTGTTTACATAGAGGTGAATTTGAGCAGCCCATCCTTAAACTTCAGACTTTGACTTTAGTCGCTAGTAACTAAAATTATCTCCCCTGGAGTACAAGAGGAAGTAATCCAAACATAACAATCTGAAGATTAAAATAAGCTACTGTACTGTGTTAGTACACAAAACGTCTCAAGTATAACTGTCTTCAACTTTCACCATTAAAAATTATTGCAGTGGATTTGTAATCTTAGTATTACTTGGAATTTCTCCAATGCTGATGGATTGGCTGAGTTATGGTAGAGGTGTTCAGAGTTGGAGAAAGGGACGCTTCTGTACTTTGGGGAATACAGCTGAAGTCTTAAGAAGCATCCAGTCCTCCCTGCAACTTGAGCGTTTCAGTTACATAGCACGAGACTATAAAGGAGCGCTGCTCGTTTTACTAACTCGTTGAGAACAGATGTTTCAAGCTGTACTTCCAAAGTACGTTGCTCCACACGCATGACTGAATCATTGAAATAGGAATATTGTATATACCTGGTCAGTCATCTAAAGCTACCTTTTAACACTGTTTTAGAAACATTCTGGTGCAGGCATGGTTTTATGATCTCAGCGTGGATTTATTTTTGGCTCTCTAGATTGAAGCTTTGGAGAAGATGAATGAAGATCATGTGCAGAATCATGGAAAGAAACTGTCAATGTTTTCAAGCGACGGAGACCCACCTATATATGATGAATAGCACTGAGCATACAGCTGCTGACGAAACGAAACACGAATTTACTGCTTCTGACCGTGTTGGTGCAGTGGTGAATGTCAACTACAAATGTCAAGACAGAGTGGTTGACTGGGAATACCAAAATGGAAAACACAGCGAGCATACGGTGATGCCTCAGTGTTGTTTGTTTTTTTTTAACTTAGCCCACACATCAGGCTGGCACTGTGAGAATGGACTGTCACTACCTCTTCGGATGGTCTGACAGCTTCACCAATTAATTGCCCAGTTACGTTAGACTAATGTAGCTGAGGTGGTCATATTTTGCGTGATTCAGAGCTTGTATGTTTTAGTTTAAAAAAAAAAAAATCATCTAGATTGTCTAAAGTATTTAGTGGGAAAGCACACTAGGAGAGTCCCTCTTTTTTTCCTATTGCTACTTGAAAAACTAATTAAAAAATTGTGTATGGACACAATGTCAGTTGAACCTTTCATCCTTCTCCACCAAGGGCAAAATGAAAAGTCAAACTATGCGCTGCAATCATAAGAAAATGTTAATTTAACAGACCAATGTCTTTATACATGCGAAAGTCTGGACCTTTTCGTTTGAAGTACGTGGAATGTGGCTCTAACTATCTCTGTAAATACAATTGGGTATTACATGAGAAACAGATTTGAATCCAACCAGCAGAGGACTTCTTTGGTGATGTGCCAGGAAATCCTGAGGGCCGCATCCCAGTTGCGTAACAAAGAGTTCAGTTAGCTTCACTCTTAATACACAAGCAGTTCCAAGAACTCAGTGCAAGCAAAAAAAAAAATTCTCTATAATAATCCTGTCTCTAAACTGAAAATCTGGGTACAGCATCAAACATTCTTACTCGCCCCAAAGATAATCATAGACTATGAAAACTGAATCTCGATCGTCATTAGTTTTAAACCTTGTTGCTTACTAGTGCAAGGATACTACTCAAATTTATCTTTTTCTCATGCTTTTATTCTTAATGGCAGTCTTTTTATTTTAGCAAGTTCTAAAACTCTGGCAATGTTTCTCTCCAAAACAACACATCTAAAGATGAACTGATGTAGTGGGGTGGTTTGGAATGAAGAAACTCTGATCGACTTCTTTTTAACTGACTGCTGTTTCCGATGCTGCTCTCTATCAAGCAGAATACCGTGTTGCTGCGTGTGACATTCTCACAGTGTGCTGTGGAAGTGGTTTTATTTTTTTTAATTTTTTTTTGTTGTTGGAAAACTGGTGAAGTAAAAACTTCAGATCTGGTGGTGGTATTCTTGCGTGGTTCTTTGCATCGTACAGGCCTTTGTTGATCCTCAGTGCTGCACTAAAGCAGTATTGGGGTAGGACTACACTAGTTCATTATAACAATAGAAAAATTACTATTTTGGTGGGTACTACATAAACAGTAAACAACCTTGACATTTTTGCCAGTTTCATCCCAGTATTTGGATCCTCTTCTAAATTAGACATTTACCCCTTACTTTTGAAATAAAGGAACTTGCGTCTTTTGGAGATGTAGGTCTATTCCTAATTGCTCAGTGAAACAGTTGCCCAAAATAATGGTATCGGGGAAAAAACAGACTAGGTACTGAGAGGGAGGTACCTCCTTCCCCTTCAGGAAGACTAAAAAGCTTCAAAAAACAGACTAGGTACTGAGAGGGAGGTGCTACAGTTACCCAACCCCTTCCGGAAGACTAAAAAGCTTTCGTTGTCAAATACAACCAAATCTTCTCCTTCAGAGGAAAAGGCTTTTAAAAAGGAAAGGATAGTCCTATTCTAGGCTTTTTACCAGTTTCAATACTCTAACATTTCTTGGAGAAAAAGGTATCTCAGAGCAGTTGCTAATACCTTACAAATGTGCTTGTCTAGGAAAGACGCTGATCATTATGGATATTTGCATTGAGTGAGAGGAAGAGAGCGAGCAGAAATAAGGGGAAGTGAGAGGAGCGTGTTTTTGGAGCCGTCATTTGAAACAGAGGCACCTGCTTGTTTCATTGTGCTTGGACTGAAGCCTCAGTTGTTACTGTCATTTTTAATTTCTTTCTAAAATCTGTCTAGCACAGATTAAAGAAAAACCAAATCAAATAAATGAAGCAATGGTCCTCAAGTATGTGATTTAAAGCTACTGGGCCCGATTATATTGCCTAAACATCTTCTCACTTCCAGCAGTAAAATTGGCTCAGGAATTTGCTTTGATATTTTAAGACGTCCGGGCACGTTGTTAAGTAGTTGAAAACAAGGAAGAAGTTGCTAAAATGAGCATTTTCCTGGACTCCTTTGAAATAAAAGGTGCTAGGATTATTATTAAGCAGATAGAATCTTAGAAGCACGTCTAGATTTTTCATTGTTAATTAAGCCACTGGCTTAATTACCTTTTCTGACATTATGACTGTTCTAACGGCCAATTCTAAAACTATCACAATAGTTTCAAGTTGTGTCTTTATATACTTGTCTGCTGATTCCCCCTCCCCATACCTCAAATTCTACTATCTTAATATTCCTATTGCAATTGTAAAAAGTGCTTGCTGTCCTGTAGGGAAGTAGGAGTTAAGGTTGAACATCAGTAGAATTTCTTAAATTTTGACCTTGGATTAACTAAGCTTTCGGCTAACATGCAATGAATTTATTATTTTGTAAAAATTATAAACTTTAGGGTACTTTAAATGCTCTGGAAATACCTGGCCTCTCTCGTTAACACAGAATTGTTTGATGACACAGGAGGGTTCTGCAGAACAAACAGATTGTTGTAATTCCTAGTTGTGACTTCAGTTTCTCTAGTCTGATGTCAAATTACTGCAGTTAGACTAACTGGGTCACAAGCCAGCAAGCACTTGTTTGCACAATACCGTGTTATTATCTGGTACTTAAATTTCTATTTCTCCTTTACTAAGTTGTGCCGCTCCAGTCTAATCTGAAAACTTTTAAATTGGTATGATAGCAGTCTTCTTTTTTTCCCCCTTTTTTATTTCCCTTTCTAAACCAATAAGCAAATATGTACTTGATGATGTTCTCACACAATTTCTAAATTATACTGTAGGTTTTGCAACTAGTGAACTAAGGCATTAGCCAGTGCATCAACCAGAAAAACCCCATTGCTAGTTTATTGTCCAAACTAAAATACAAATAAGCATAAATGCTGAGAAACAATCCAGACTTTAACTTCAGTAACGCTTTATTAATGCTATTCCTGAAACAAGGACTATTTTCAGAGTATGATTTCCCTTTCTGATCTATTTTACATCTAGCCACTAAAAAGCAGTTTCATGCCCCAAAGCAGTATCAATAGTGACTGCTTTTCAGTGATGATGCAGTAAGTGCGGACAAATTAAGGCAGAGCTCTAAAGCAGTTGGTTCCTTTTTGCCCCGCCAGTCCCCGAGCAGCGGCCCCCCCGGCCAGCTTTCCCCAGTTTATGTACTGAGCATGACGTCACATGGTATGGAATGTCCCTTTGGCCAGTTTGGCTGTGCCCCCTCCCAGCTTCTTGTGCACCTCCAGCCTTCTCAGTCGGTAGAGCATGGGAAGGTGAAAAGTCCTTGGCTAGTGTAAGCACTACCTAGCAACAACTAAGACATCGGTGCGTAATCAACATTGTTCTCCTCCTAAATCAACAACACAGCACTGTACCAGCTACTAGGAAGGAAATTAACTCTATCCCTGCCGAAACCAGGACACCCACCTAAAAGTTTGGGGGCTTTTTCTGAGAAAGCGCTGTAAAAGGTTGGGCCAGATGTGTTTATCCCGTGTGACACGTCTCAGCTCCAAGTATTTTCCTTCCAGGAGGCTAGCAGAGCGACCGGCTAGCTAGCCAAGAGGCCCACCTGAGGTACGGGAAGAGATTTCAGCGTGACGCTGCACTGCAGAGCGGCATCGAAACCCCGGCGTTCCCACGCCGGCAGCACCACAGGCTGCGCCTGAAGCGCAGCCGCTCTCCGGGAAGGGGCCGTTTGCCCGGGCGGCCGCTCTCCCGGCAGGGC